AAATGGACCCATAAAGTCGATCCCCCAACAATCGAATATTTCTATCACGAGAATTGGGTTCAAAGGCATCATATGGCGGCGGGACAAAGAACCTAACTTCTAGCACCGGACATAGGAACGACAGAATTTATTAGTGTCCTTGAACAAAGTAGGCCAATAAAGACCACACTGTAAGATTTTTGCGGCGGGCTTTTTTATAGAAAAAAGAACACCACATGCATCGTTATGGCAGAAGTTCAAAACACTAGTAATCTCATCATCAAGAATGCATCGTCTCATGATTTGGTCGGGACAATACTTGAAAAGATATGGGTCATCCCAATAGAAGTTTCGCACCTCGACTAAGAACTTGCGTTTATCTTGTGCATTCCAATTAGAAGGAAGTTCGCCCGTCACCAAGTAGTTTACGATATGAGCGTACCAAGGCAGCTTAGTGACGGTGAAAAGATTATCATTAGGGAAGTTATCGCGGATGGCAGGGCCATCGGCGGGATCATTGAACTCGAGTCGAGACAGATGGTCGGCAATGACATTCTCGACACCTTTCTTGTCCTTGATGGTCAAGTCAAATTCCTGCAATAGAAGGATCCACCTAATTAATCGCGCCTTAGCATCTTTTTTAGAAAGGAGATACTTGAGGGCGGCATGATCTGTAAAGACAGTGATGGGTGAACCGATCAGATATGCACGGAACTTGTCAAGTGCAAAGACCACAGCGAGCAACTCTTTCTCAGTGGTTGAGTAATTCATTTGAGCACTATTTAGAGTTCTACTCGCGTAATACACAACAAAGGGCTTCCCTTCCCTTCGTTGACCAAGAACGGCCCCTACAGCATAATCGCTTGCGTCACACATGATTTCAAATGGTAAGCTTTAATCTGGTGACTGAATGATGGGGGCGGAAGTCAACTTCGCCATAAGCGTTCGGAAAGAATCCTCATATTTTTGTGTCCAATCGAATGCGGCGTCTTTAGCCAGAAGGTTACAAAGCGGACGAGAAATTGCTGAAAAGTTTTGTATGAACCTCCTGTAAAAACCAGCATGCCCTAGAAAAGACCGAATGTCTTTGACAGTCTTGGGGGTGGGCAACTTTGAGATAAGTTTAATTTTGGAATGATCAACCTCAATCCCTCTTTCAAAAATAACATGCCCCAAGACTATGCCAGATGGCACCATGAAATGACACTTCTCCCAGTTAAGCACGA